ATCCAAACCATCCTGGCTAACAAGGTGAAACCCCATCTCTTCTAAAAATACAAAAAATTAGCCAGGTACACACCTGTAGTCCCAGCTATTCGGGAGTCTGAGGCAGAAGAATCACTTGAACCCAGGAGGCAGAGGTTGCAGTGAGCTGAGATGGCACTGTACTCCAGCCTGGGCAACAGAGCAAGACTCCATCACAAAAAAAAAAAAAAAAATTGAGACAGGGCCCAGCATGGTGGCTCACACCTGTGATCCAAGCACTTTGGAAGGCAGGAGGATCGTTTGAGCCCAGGAGTTGGAGACCAGCCTGGGCAACATACCAAAACTCCATCGCTACAAAATTAACCGGGCATGACGGTGCATGCCAGTAGTCTCAGCCACTTGGGAGGCTCAGGTGAGAGAATCACTTGAGCCCAAGAGGTGGAGGTTACAGTGAGCTGCGATTACACCACTGCACTCCAGCCTGGGCAATACAGTAGGACCCTCTCTAAAATAAATAAATAAATAAAATAAAATTGGCCGGGCGTGGTGACTCATGCCTATAATCCCAGCACTTTGGGACGCCAAGGAGGGCGGATCACCCTGACCAACATGGAGGAACCCCGTCTCTACTAAAAATACAAAACTGGCTGAGCCCGGTGGGGCGTGCTTGTCATCCCAACTACTCGGGAGCCTGAGGCAGGAGAATTGCTTGAACTCGGGAGGTGGAGGTTGTGATGAGCTGAGATCGCACCATTGCACTCCAGCCTGGGCAACAAGAATGAAATTCCATCTCAATTAAAAAAAAAAAAAAGAAGGAGCCAGGCACAGTAGCTCACGCCTGTAATCCCAGCACTTTGGGAGGCCGAGGCGGGTGGATCACGAGGTCAAGAGATGCAGACCATCCTGGTCAACATGGTGAAACCCCGTATCTACTAAAAATTAAAAAAAAAAAAAAAAAAATTAGCTGGGCATGGTGGCGCGTGCCTGTAATCCCAGCTACTCAGGAGGCTCAGGCAGGAGAACTGCCTGAACCCAAGAGGTGGAGGTTGCGGTGAGCCGAGATCGCGCCTTTGCGCTCCAGCCTGGGTAACAAGAGTGAAACTCTGTCTCAAAAAAAAAGAGAGAGCCGGGCGCGGTGGCTCATGCCTGTAAGCCTAGCACTTTGGGAGGCCAAGGTGGGTGAATCACCTGAGGTCAGGAGTTCAAGACCAGCCTGGCCATCATGGTGAAACCCTATCTTAAATAAACAAATAAATGGAAAAGAAAAAGTAAAATAAAATGAGAAGGATCTTGACAATGCAAAAAGAAAATAAACAGTGTAAAATGACAAAATCTAATTCAGTGGTTCTCAACAGGGGGCAACCTTCCCCAGAGGAGACATCTGGCAATATCTAGAGACAGTTTTGGTTGTCTCCCAGGGGTTCTGCTATTGGCAACTAGGGCCAGGATGACGCTAAACACCCTACAATGCACAGATAGACTTCAAACAAAGAATTATCTGGTCTAAAAGGTCAATAGAGGCAAAGACTACGAAAACCCTGGCCTATTCTAACCAGATTGGGTGAGTTTGTAAGGGGAGGACACAACAGTTAGAGTTAGGAAATCAAGGATAAGCAGCAGTTAGCCAGAGAAAGGGAGGCGGAAGAGGCAGATGTGGTGGGGGAACATGGGGTGCTGGGAGGGTTTGTAGCTTTCTTGGTAGAGAAAATAGCATGTATGATTGCCCTGAAGTAGGCAAGAGCATTGACTACGGTGGCTGAAATAGGAAATGAAGGGCTCAAGAATGGGCTAGAGACGCAGGGTATGGTGGCTCATGCCTGTAATTCTAGCACTTTGGGAGGCTGAGGTGGGTGGATCACCTGAGGTCAGGAGTTTGAGACCAGCCTGGACAACATGGTGACACCCCGTCTCTACTAAAAATACAACAATTAGCCCCACATGGTAGTGGACACCTGTAATCCCAGCTACTCAGGAGGATGAAACAGAAGAATCACTTGAACCTGGGAGGCAGAGGTTGCAGTGAGCCGAGACCGTGCCACTGCACTCCAGCCTGGATGACAGAGTAAGACTGTTTCAAAAAAAAAAGGAATGGTAGCTATATAAAAGTCACTCTGGAAGCCACAGAATTAGGTGAATTCACTTGCAGAGCTTCCTAAACTGCATTTCGCAAGTTATTCCCCACCTTAAAACCCTTCGATAGGTTCTCCCCACTCCCCTTAGGGATAAAGTTAGATTAAACCCTGAAACAATCTGACCTCTGCTCGCTTGTCCAGCCTCCTTTCCTCCCAGGCTCCACTCCTGCTCTAGCTTCATACGAATTCCTTCCTTCCCTCAAAATGACAGATTCTCCCAGCCTCAAGGCCTTTGACATGCTTACCCTCTACCAGGAACTCGCCTCTTTTCCTAGTTCACTCTTATGGTTCTTTTGAGTTTCTGCTTAGCTGTTCCCCCTCCAGGAGACTTAACAGTTTAGCTTTTGGTAGGAACACCGTGCTCCAAGAACCCCCACACCAGATCAAAACTGGGTCATCCCCACCCCCCACACACACTCTCTTAGGACTGATAGCCAAGGCCCTGCCTCAGGACCTTTCTACAACTCAGCAGCACCAACATGGCTTCATGTAATGACTGTTCAAGACCAGCCTGAACTCTGATACCTGAGGTCCCAGGCCTCTGCAGCCAGCCATTGGGGCCTGTCCTATGTGACCTGGTTCTCCTCGGTGGGACCTCCACACCTGATTTCCTGGACCTCAACTATCTCAGGAGGGGTCTCAGCCTTCGCTTCCCCGGGCACTGCCCCCTACTCGGAAATGTCTCATCCGCTATTTTCTGCGACGCCACCCTCCTCGGAGGATCTTCATCCCCACCTTAGGGGGAAGAGCCTCACCCGCCCCCGAGAGGCCACACCCCCTTGCCATCTCCCAGCCCCGCCTTCCCAAGAGGTCACACCCCCTAAGGGCCTCCTCCACCTCCCTGCTAAGCCAGGTCTCCACCAGAGAGGCCAAGCCCCAGCCCATCTCCTAAAAGAAGGCACACCCCCACAACCCTCGGTTCCCCGGCCTCCGCCACCGCGCTGCCGCGTTCCCCTGTATCTTCCCGCGGCTCCACCCGCCCTTTACGCGCCGGCTGAAGTTTATGAAACGCCGCGGCAGCCACATCAGCTTTGTCTCTCAGGCCCCGCCCTCCTCAGGTTGGCCCTGGTCCCCGCCGTCTCCTGGGCTCCGGTCCCACCTCCGATCCAGCCTCAGCTTGCTGCCCCTCCTCCTCCTCAGGGCATCCCTTTGTTCCTGTGGCAGCGCCCTAGGCGGGCGCTGTTTGTTTCCCTCTGGCGTGCCTCAAGCCAAGCCTCACCCGCCAACAGCCGGTCCCCCACGCATTCCAGACCCGTGACTGGGAGGAGTATAAGCTCCGAGGTTGCTCGCGGCCAAACGTAGTCCTCGAGAGCGTCCATGTCGATCCTCCAGGTGCAGAGGCAGCCACGGCTAAGAAGGGAGCTGAACTCTCGCGACAATGAGCCTCCCCGGCCCACCGCGCTGCTCATCAACAGCGCCCTCAGCTACGGATAGCAGAGACCAGGGCGCCCGCTGCGGATGTCCAATGACGACCCTTCGTCCTACGCAATCCAGCTCCTGATTGGCGAGGCCCGCGGAGGGCGGCTCTTACTCCGCCCCCTCACATGACGCTTGCAGGGTCCTCGGAGCTGCAAGCTCGCTGCACCTAGCCCGGCCTTCCTCCCGCCGACCCGGAGTTTGTCCGGCCCGAACCTTGTGGTTTTTTTTATTTGACGGGGCAGCATAGGGTCAGTACACAATAAATAACATGAATATAGGAACTACGCCGTATCGCGGCTGGCAGGGTGGGGCAAGACATTGGCCAGACCTTTAGTCTGCAACAGGAAGGAAGACAGCTGGATCTCCGATCTTGGGCAGCTGGCGACCCGCGGTTGGGAACCGGGGTCAATTCTCCCCTCAGAGCTCCACGCGCGCATCGCGGTAGGCCCGGTCCAGAGCCCACTCGGGCTGTGAGTCGGCGCCCCCTTCGCGGGCCAGGCGGGCCATCTCCTGTTGGAACAGCGCTTGCCGCGCTCGGCTGGGGTCCACATTGATCCAGTTGTTGGCAATCCACTTGGTGCCGCGCGTGACCAGGCAGCCCCCGTGCAGCGAGTAGTCGTCTATGTCACCCACCCAACCTACAAGAGGAGGGTGACATGAGATTCTAGGCTGGGCTGGCCAGAGCTTTGCCTCATAGGGACCAAGAGCATGACCAAGGTGGGCTCAGCTGTGCATTCCTTGTGTAGCAAACACCCAGACCCAAGGCTTCCTTGGGGGCTCCTCATCTCACCCAACTAACGTATAGTCAACACCACTGGCCCTCGGAAACCAGCTTTCTTGCTCTTGGGCCTGTCCATAGCCCTTCCCACACTGGGTTGGCAAGGGACATGTGTCCCAAGCCCCAGGGAGTAGGAGGGCTGGGGCATCAATCAGGGAATGATAGGGATGGCAATAACCCAACAGGCAGAACGGGTCCTGGGGAAGTCTGCTGAAGTCACTAAGGATGGTCTTTGGGAGGCACCAGGAGCAGAAAACCATTTGGAAAGCAGCCAGAAACAGCCCTTCCTGGTAGCAGACAGGGGCTGGATAAGGGGAAGTTATCCTCAGACACCGCCCCCCAGGCCTGGCCATAGGCCCTCACCTTGTCCATCAGGCAGGTAGTTGTACCAGAAGACTGCTGTGCCCTGTCGGGGCTTGACACGAAGATTTCCCTTGTCACAGTGCCTCCGTGTGTCACGGAGGTCCACATTATCCTGAATCAGACTCTGTGGGCAGCAGGGTGGTGGGGTGTTCAGCCTCTCCCCACTCTATGGCCAGGCCAGTCAAGGGTGACCAAAGGGATACCAACCAGATATGCCCAAGGAATCACTTGGGCCCACATCCTTAGACCTGGTGAGGTGTATACTTCACTTGCCCAAGCCCCTGCCAGCCCACAACAGTAATAGCCCAGTTGACCCTTACCATTTCATCGTAGGTTCTATTATCTGCTACAGGGAAGACAGTCTCACCCCCACCGGTGACGTTGTTCAAATAAAACAGCACTGTCATGTAGCTGTAAGGCAGGGGGGCCACTGAGCAGGTCCCCAGTTGTGGATGCTCCCAGGGGCTTACCTGTGGGCAGGATAAGCTGCCCAGGTTCCTGTTGCCAGGGACCAGGACAGACTGGGATGGGTGACAATAGGGAAGGCCACTGCCAAAATGTCCCTAGCCCCTCCTTCCCCCAAACCCAGTCTCTTACTGTGAGTTGCAGTGGTTTTTTGGCCAAGATCACAGGTGCACTTAGCTAAATGCCATGGCCCTGAGCAACCGCCTAGCAGGGAAAGGTAGGCTAGCAGAAGCAGCAGGGCACGCTGAAGGGCTCCTTGGGGACCGGAAGGGGCTGGGCCAGAACAGCCACCTGAAGAGGAAAGAACTGCCTTGGCAGGGGAGGGAGGCACAGCTTCAGCTTCTCTAAGTGGAATCAAGATCAACAACTGGGGGAATGGGCCGGACAAGCTGGGGGCCCAGCCTTGCTCCTTGCTTCACAACGCTGGAGGCAATTTTTGGTGTCTGTGAGTACTTCAGTCTGTGTTGACTCCAGTAGACACGATGGCCAGTAACCACCCCTTTCCTGCCATTTGGTAAACAGCTTGTGGGGAGAGGTGGGGGCATCACTGACCGTGCCAAGGGGCACGCCCACAGTGCAGGGCTGCGCCTGTGTCATGGGCGTTCCTGGTCTGGGGATTGAAGGCAGCCCCCAGTTGGGAGATACTTGCCGGCAGGAGGTCTCGAAGGGTACAGACTCGTTGGCTACCAGCTTGGTATGGGAGCAGATGGTCTCTGGGTACACAGGCCCACTGTCCACATGGGCATGGTAGTGGCCCCCCTCACCATATCGAACAACCTGCAGCGGCTCGCTGAGCTCCACAATCTCAGGCGACAGGCGAGTGAGGCGCAGCACCCTGGTGGGCAGCAGGCATTTGTCTGGGCAGCCCCATGCAAAGTGGTGACCTGAAGGAGCTGGCCAAGGTGAACCCTGGGTCTGCCACAAGCTCTGCCCCTGCCCGCCTCCCCTGGAAGTCCCTTAAGGCATCTCAGACTGGCCCTGTAAAAGCAGGAATGGGTTACTCATGATGAGTTCTTCTCCCTCAGATGCCAGAGAGACACCTGCTGTGTGGAAAAGATGACATTTCCACTAAATAAAGGAGATGGGGAGGCCTGAGGTCCTCCTCCCTAGAAGGAAGTTGTTTATTTAAAAACCCTTGCCTGCTCTGACAGAAGGGGTCCTGTAGACAAAGATAAGGGGTCATTTCTCTAATCAGCAGAAAGGAAGACCTCAATCTCTTTCCAATCCCAGTCACCCGTTGTGTGTGTGCCTGCAAGGAGGGCTAATTGCCTTTGCTCATTGCCTGTTTTTCAGCGGGTCCCAATCCTGGTCTAATAAATGGAACTTAATCCCAAGTGGATTAATCCATTCTGTCCTCTTGGCCCCAGACAAGGAATTCTGTGGAAGCCCTGCCCAGTCTTCTCTCCCCTGCTCCAGTGAGAACAGTCTCAGGTGCTCACCTCTGGCGGATGGCACGCATGATGTGGTGGGCACCCTCACCCTGGTAGAGCCAGGTATGGTGGCTGTTCCGCACCAGCTCACTGGACTCTGCTTTGTGGCTCCTCATGTACTTGTGGAAGTCGTGAAGGTCCATGTTGGAGAACTCCTGCAGACTTAGCACTCCTGCACAGGGCACCCACCATCAATGCCTGCCTAGCCCATGCTGGGAGGCCACAGTGGCAGGCTGCACTTCCCTACCTACCCCAAAGGGAGCAGCTGCCCCTGACCTCAGGCACTTGTTCCCCACTTGGATTTTTGGGTCAGATGAACATGATTTCCATCATATTGGGCCCTAGAGGAAGACCCAGAGCAGTTCCTTCTCTCAGTTTAAGCCCTAATTTGACCCTAAGAAGGAAGAGGCCCACCCCTTATTAGAGTGGCCAGAGAAGGTTCTCCAAAGGAAGCTTGAGCCATATGGCAAGGGCCCTTGGCCAAGAGCCAACCCTGGTTCTCCAGCCTGGCTATATAGAATGGTGGCCATTCTCCAGCCTGTGGAGGGTGAGGAGAGAGCATGCAGTGCTGGGCCTCATCCAGGGCCTTATATATGCCAAGGTACAAGCAGGGTCAGTCCCTGGGGAGTTCCTCATGACCTCAGGTCTCATCCTGGGTGGAACCTGCCTCAACAACCCTGCCTACTGCATTATCAGCTCACCTTAGCAATGAAAGTCAGGCCACCCCCTGGCATGAGAATATTTTCCACGGCCCCTGTTCAAACCAGAAAGCAGGGGCTACCCCATCTTGGGGTTCTGGAAGAGTAGCTGGTGTCTTTGCTCCATATTATTCTGGCTGACCCAAGGATGTCACCTTCCACCCTTTGGCCCAGATTCCTCTGAGGGTGGGGGACATTCAAGGGCTGTGAGCCTGTCACCAGCTCTATTCTGGGGCCTATAGAAGTATGGCAGCCATCCAGCCACAGGTCTTTGCCAGATTCTTCACTCTGGTTCACCAGCTGCAAAGCTACTCTTCCACGTCCTTTTTGACTGCTGTATCTTCCTCACTTGGCCCAGAATTTAGGCATGAGGGTGATGACCAACCCTCAGAAACTGCCTGAGAGTTATTACCAGATGGGGCACCACTTGCACGACAGCTTCCCTGCCTTCCCCTGCCCCCAGCAGTTAGCACAGTTGGCAGCACTACCACTTTAGGATAGGAGAAAGGCAAGGGAGATCTCACTTAGACCAGGAAGGTTGTCTGCTGGGCTGGACCTTATGTCTGGCTGGAGAGGTGAATGGAGCAGGGTGAACAACCAAGTTCTAGCTGGCCCCACTGCCACCTTGCTCCTGTTCCACCAACTCTGTTCTCTGCCAACTAGTAGCCCTACTTCCTGCCCCTAGGATCTCAACTCTGCCTGATGAGGTTAAAAGGGTCTCTAAGAACTGCCCTCTAGACCATCACCAAGGGGAATGGGGGGCCTGGCTGCCTGCCTGCTTCCCAGGGGTGAAAAGCAAAGCTGGATCCTTGCCTTGCCATCTCTGGCCACTATAAAGGTGTACAGAGAGGCTGCCTGTGGGGGATGGGCCCAAGTTTTCAAGGTGGTGCACCTAGGAGTGGGCAGGAGGCTCACGGGGACAGGACTGTGCAGAGATGTGAGCTCACCATCACCATCAGGGTCAGCCTTGATCGCGGCGTACATCTCCTGAATGCTCTCTGGAGTCATCCACCATCCATTTCCCAGGCGAGTCTGGGCCAGGACCTAAAGCATAAGAAGGTTCTTCGTTTGGGTGATCCCAATGATGGAGAGCCAGGAGAGCACAGATGGCCCAGTGCTTGCTGTGGAGTGAAGTGTTCATGTGACAGGGCATGGATAAGGACACAGGGCAGGGCAGAGCCCGTTGGGCTGAAGTGAGTGCAGGTAGAAAGGTACAGAGCATCTGAGGAGAAGGTGGGGGCTGGAGGTTAAGAGGCACAGGGCCGCTGGCATTCCCAGACTAAAGGCCTGAGGCCTTCATGGGCAGTACTGTTGGTTGGAAGCAGAGTGAAGGTCAGGCCTGTGTCCCACTCAGATACTCCGGGTGACATGGGGAGCCAAGTCCTGGGTGTGAAGGGGGAACAGGCACCCAGGGGAGACCTGGTTAGGGCATGACCACCAGGCCCCTCAGGAAGACCAGAGGGTTCTCTGTGAGCAGTGCCCTCACCCACCCTGCCAGACTTCTCTCAGAAGCTTGGCCCTCCAGCCTGGCTGTAGAGTGTGTGAAAGGTATGCAGAGAGATAGACAGGCTGCTGGCCACCTCAGAGCTGCCACCCCATCCACCATGAGTTCTGTGGGGCCTCCAGCCATGAGAGCAAGGAACACAGGCTACAGGTGGTACATCCCTGGAAAACTGTGGTGATAAGCACCATCACCCGTGGGTGGATCCTCCTGCCATCTTCTGAGATTCCCAGAGCAGCCAGGGGCTCTCCAGAGGTAAAGGGGACCCCCCTGGGTCTGGGCATGCCCAGGCAGGTCTGGGTGGTATCTGACTCTTGGGACCAGAGCTGGGCTGGACAAGTGACCTGGCCACCAGAAAGGTGATTCTGGGCACTCCCACCCTGCTACTCAGGTCCCAGGATTCCAACCTCACGGAGCTGCAGGCGCCCATCACGGTTCTGGTCCAGCAGCTGGAAGAGGTCCAGCTGGCTGACCTGCATAGTGCTCATTGCCTCTTCATACTCTTCAGTGGGCAGGATCTGGCTACGCTGTAACCCCTTCATCTGCGCCAGATGGATGATGAGCCGACACTCTTCATCAGTCAGGAAGCCAGGGATTTCTGCCAGAGAGGAGATGGGTAAGGCCAAGAACCGAGCCAGGGCACTGGTGCACCCAGTACCTCCCCACAGGGTTCCTGGGGTACTGCATGTCCCTCAGTGGCCACCAAGTCTGGAGGACTTTACACACCCTTTGATTCTGACTTGTCAAGATTGAGTTGTCCTGCAAAGGCTGGCTGGTGTTGGCAATGTGGGAACCTCTCTTGTTGATGATGAGAGCACATTTTCCAGGAGAGCCCTGGGAGGTGAGCCTGAGCTAACCTGGAGATGGGCTGGCCTTTCTTTGGGTTGAGACTGAAGGCTAGCATGGTCCTGAAGGGCAGAGGGTTGATTGCCACTTATTTTTTTGTTTTTCTTTTGAGATGGAGTCTTGCTCTGTCACCCAGGCTGGAGTGCCATGGTGCAGTCTTGGCGCTCACTGCAACCTCCGCCTCCCAGGTTCAAGCAATTCTCCTGCCTTAGCCTCCCAAGTAGCTGGGATTACAAACATGCACCACCACGCCCGGCTAATTCTTGTATTTTTAGTAGGACAAGGTTTTGCCATGTTGGCCAGGCTAGTCTCGAACTCCTAACCTCATGATCTGCCTACCTCCACCTCCCAAAGTGCTGGGATTACGTGAGCTACTGCGCCTGGCTGATTGCCACTTCTTACTGGGTATAAATATTTAAAGTGGGGAGACAGGCCGGGTGTACAGTGGTGGCTCATGCCTGTAATCCCAGCACTTCAGGAGGCTGAGGCAGGCGGATCATGAGGTCAGGAGTTCGAGACCAGTCTGACCAACATTGTGAAACCGTGTCTCTACTAAAGATACAGAAATTAACTGGGTGTAGTAGCACACGCCTGTAATCCAGCTACTTGGGAGGCTGAAGTAGCATTGCTTGAACCTGGGAGGTGGATGTTGCAATGAGCTGAGATTGTACCACTGCACTCCAGCCTGGGTGATAGAATGAGACTATCTAAAAAAAAAAAAGAAGGGAGATAGTGGCTGTTTCTTGCTTTCATTTTAGCTTTTCATCATTATTCAGATAAAAAAGCACAAGACATCCAATGCATTAGGCTAGTCCAAGAGCCTTCCCCTCCTATTTCCTGCATGGATGGGTGCTGGCTATCTGACCAGGGCTGAGTTGTCCAGTGCTGGAAGATCAGTGAGGGTTACTCAGGTTTTGGGCTGATACTGGTCTCTGAAAAGATGTCCCAGGGTGTCCTTTGCTTCCTCAATTCCTTCCCTGGGACAAATGTTCACTGAGAGCCTACTCTATGGCTCTGTGCCCCCAGGTAAAGATCAGTCATGCCTGGGGCTTGGTTTCAGTGGCTGGCTGCCTGCATACCAAGCACAGTTGGTAGGTGGCTTGGTGGAGCTAGAACCGGAGCCTCATATCTAGGGAGCCCACATTCTGTTGGTAGCCCCAGACACTTCCAGAGCAGGAGGATGGGCCCTGCTTCCTTCCCTTGTTCCTGGGAAAGACAACTTCACTGGGGGACAAGAAGCACACAGAAGAACTGATTGGAGGAGGGTGGCAGTGCCACCTGCGGAGTGGTCTGCACTTTTCCCAGTTCACCTCTCTCACGAAGTTCCAGCCATTGTAGAGAGGAAGGAAAATGGCCACTCAGCACCAGGGTTGGAGCTTTTTAAATTTTTTTTGTAGAGATGGGGGTCTCCCTGTGTTGCCCATATGGTCTCGATTTCCTGGGCTCAAGCGATCCTCCCATCTCGGGTTCAGAAATGCTGGGATTATAGGCCTGAGCCTACACACCTGGGCTGGAGCAGTTTTTAATAGTAATTACAGCAGAAAATACTTAGGTAGTACAGACTCTGCCCAAGGCATTGTCCTAAGCACTTCATACATATCAACTCCTTAATCCTGACACTTACCCTAGAAGTCCAGGCCCCATTAATTCACCCTGTCTATCTAAGTGTAAACCCAAGCACAGACGAATCAGTGCCTTGCCACTGGCCACCCGGCCTGTTGTGTTTCAGAAACCATGCTCATGACCAGATTCAGCTTCTAGGAGCAGGTGACTCTGAAGTGATAATATTGAGAACAGGACAAAGGCCCCCACTCTTGGCCTGCATGATCCTGTAACCCCAGGAAACCCAGAAACGGTGTTATCCATGGGGAGACAGCCCTGTGGAACAATGGGTTAGATCAAATTGCAAATCAACAGTCACCTCTTGATTGCTTAACACACAAAATTTAAAAAGAAAAAAGAAGCCAGAAAAAGAAAAGAAAAGACAGGCCCAGGTTTCTTCAGTTTATTAGGTACCAGTAATCCTCAAGCCCAGTGGCAATGCCACCAGCCTCTACAGTCTCCCCTGCTGTGTGCTGATCAAAAACAAACAGCCCAGTGCATATTGGGGCCTGACCAGGTGGGTCCAGGCATCTCAGAGCTGTGCAAACCCCTGTAGGATCTCCTCTGTTGGCTCCCGGGTACAGGAATAGCCCTATAAAGCCCTCAACTTCAGCTCATTAAAGCCAAGGCACAGAAGGCAGTGATGGAGCAAGGGCTGTGGCGACTGGTGACACTGGTGATGCTGTGGGGTGACAGTGGGGCAGGGGCTCCCTGGGGATGCACAAGGTGCATGCCCATTCCCCAAGCCATGGCCCTATCTTATGACATTGGCTACACAGATACGGCTGTCCAACTTGCTGGACCAGGACACAGCGGCTAAGGCCATTCAGCAATCAGTCAGCTGGCTGCCCCTGCTTGACTGGGAGTGCCACACCGCTGCTGCCTCTTCCTCTGCCCCCTCTTTGCCTCTGTATGCCTTGACAGGTAGGACAGGGGCTTCTAGGTGCAGGGCCCCAGGGGATTCCTCCAGAGCTCTGCTTCGGTGGCTCAGGTCTTCACTAATCCTTGCTGAGCACCTATCAGGGCTGGGTGCTGACAGGGACAGGGAAGAAAATGGACTGTTTTGTTAGTGTTTCAGACAGAGGGAAGCAGGTACCCTTAGGAAAGGGACCACCAATGATGGTCAAAGGTTCTTCAATGTTAAGATAGGGCAGGTAGACAATTCCCTTCAGGCTAGGGGTGGAGGACAGGCAGGCTGGGAGCTCCTCTCCAGTGAGGTGTAGAAGCTCTGTCTGTCCAAAGGGATCCTGGCAAGAGATGGAGCAGAGGCCCTTCTGGTGGCCTTTTTTCCCCACAAAGTCCAGATGTTCCAAGCCTGTTTCCTCTTCCTCAGCCTAACCTATGCTGTGAACAGTGATTCCCTCCCAGAGCCTCTGGGTGGCCATGCCAGCAGAACTCAGGATCAAGCCCTTGACTCTTTGCCAGCCCCAGCCCTGGCTGCAGTACCCTGAAGGCCTTTCAGGACAAGATGGGGGGCCTCTCATTAATATGGAGAGTGAAGGCTCAGCGTGCAGGCTGCCTCTCACAGACACTGGATGTCCACAGAGCCGGAGCGGGAGTTGCACTGGAAAGCTGGGTGGGGGAGGCGGAGGAGATGAGACAGAAGCATTGGGAGTGCAGAGGCAGAGCTGAGGGCTGAGATGTGGGGCAAGTGGGAAAGCCAGGCTATGGGCCATTGCTAAGCAACCAGTGTCGTTGCCCAGCAACCACAGAGAGTTCCAGGCCATGAGGCAGGGGTAGGAGCATAGAGAGGCTCCAGCTGATTTGGGTGCCCAGCAGGTAGCGGTGCAGTCCCCAACCCTTTCCCCCAAGGGTCATCCACCCCTGCCACAGCCCATGTGAGGCTGTGCAGGCCAGGTGCGAGCCCATCATGGCCTGCTACAACTGCCCCTGGCCAATCATCCTGCACTGTGGAGGCTTCCACTCGGGCCGTGGTCTCTGCATCACTGCTGTGGCAACAATGGCTCCTGCCTGGACCACCCATGTCAGTCTGCACGGCTACTTGGCTGGTCTCCACCTTGCTTGGCCCTACCCCTTTAATTCCCCAGGGACCAGGTAAACTGTGCTCAGGCATCCGTCTCAAAAAAGATAAAAAAGAGGGAAAAGTGGGAGGGATCAGCCCCCTTCACCCCCCTCCTCACTCCACCCTCAACCACATTGGACAGTGCCTCGCCCTGTCCCTCTTCCCAGTGCTGCCTGCCAGCTGCAGGGGCTGCGAGTTGCAGGATGCAGGCTCCTTCAAGGAAGTCCTGGACATGCTCTGCACCAGTGACTTTGATGAGTCCTGGGCGTGTAACCTGTAACTTTTTTTTTTAGATGGAGTCTCGCTCTGTCACCCAGGCTGGAGTGCAATGGAGCGATCTTGGCTCACTGCAACCTCTGCCTGTCAGGTTCAAGGAATTCTCCTGCCTCAGCCTCCTCAGTGGCTGGGACTACAGGCATACACCACCATGCCTGGTTAATTTTTTATATTTTTAGTAGAGACGAGGTTTCACCATGTTGGCCAGGCTGGTCTTGAAATCCTGACCTCAGCCTTCCAAGATGCTAGCTTACGGGCATGAGCCACCACACCCGGCTGGGCCTATAGCTTTACACACCCCTTCCAAGTGCCTCCACTGCAGCTCCTGGCTTGGTGCTGAGGCGATGGAAGAGGGAATACCCAAATGCTATGCTTGGTTAGAGCTAAAAGAAAACATTCCTTTACAAGCATTTGACATTGCTAAAACAAAAAGAAACCAAAAATTCTGCTAAGGAAAGTGGCATTCTAACAGCCTGCTTCTAAGGGCAGAGCATTAGACAAGAGGGTTTAGTCCACCAGGTGGAGGGAACTGGTGTACTAAACACTTTGGGAGTTTAGAGGGGACTCCTTCAGGCCCATATCCTCACTGGCCCCTCTGTTCCCACTCAGCAGGGAAGGTCAGGCTCTTCAAGCATGGTACCTCCTCTGGCCTTTGGGACTGTGACCTGGACTTTAGACTACAGGTGCTGAAGATGGAACCGCTGCCCCTGCAGAGCTGGTGCCCACCCTGCAACGCTAGCTGCAGCTGGATGTCACATGCATGTAAAACCTTTTTCGAGAAAGGTGCACAGGAACCTATGTGTTGAGTGGGAAGATGGAACACCATTGGCCGTTGGTAACCATGGCCTATG